TGACGACTTTGTTCTTGACTTGGACTTGGATGACGAGGATGGACTTAAGGAGACCAAGGTCTGTCATCTTGAACGTGTTCTTGAGTGCGTCGCAGGCTTTCTCAATTTGGACTTCGTCGTTGCCAGTCACGGTGATGTCGTCGACGTAAACTGTCAAGAGCACCACAGAATCTCCCACTCACTTGACAAAGAGGCAGACTTCCTTGACGCAACGAACGAATCCAAGGTCCACCGGGAACTTGTGCAACGTGAGGTACCAGCATCTAGGAGCTTGGTTGAGTCCATAGATGGCCTTGATCAACTTGCACACTTTGTTTTCTTGGCCAGGTATGACAAAGTTGGGTGGCTGCTTCATGTAAATTTCGGTGTCTTCGTCCATCGCACCGTTGAGGGATGCAGTCTTGACGTCCATTTGCCGCACCGTCCACGCGTGACGTGCAACCAGAAAAAGCACCAGACGCAGTGTGTTTAGTCACAGTACAGGTGCAAGGATTTCCATGTAGTCGTGGCCATCGCGCTGGAGGAATCCCTTGATGACCAAACGAGCCTTTACTTGGTGAACTGGCCCATTGCGTCGAACTTGGTACGCCAAATCAACTTGCACTCCAACGCCTTGCGATCAGGCGGCAGATCTGTCAGAGTCCAGGTGCCGTTGTTGACCAATGAGTCGTACTCGTCTTGAGTTGCTTCGAGCCACTTGGCCTTGTTCGGACTTGCTTCAATATCCTTGAACGACTGAGGTGTGTCGTCGACCACGTTCACCGCATGCACTTGGTGGTAGCCGCCAGAGACAGCTTCGAGGCCATTGGGGTCGAAGTCCACTTCGCCCGATTCTTCATCGCTGGAGTCACTTGTCGCAGAACTTGGATCGGTTTCGTCCATGTTTTGTCCACAAGAAAAGGCAGCCGCCTCAAGACAGCGCGGTGCATCGCCACAGGGGGGTGTTGGAGGTGGCTCTCCACCGACACTGCCATCTCGGCGATTACATACGGTTCCATTTCTTTTGGAGAAGATCTCAATAGTGGAGGGACAATAGATAAAACCACATAATTCACTCTTGAATATACTACGTCGTGCGCATCGGAGCTTCCTGGATTAAGAGGACTCTGCTTGACGAACCCACAGATCCTGTCGAACTCGACCGTGGCAATCGTTGGCGGCGGTCGGATCATATCCTGGAATGATCAACATTGACAGGATGACCTTGATGGTACATAAACACGTGAACTCAAACAAATGAAAACGTTGTGACTTCGTTTTCATGACAAGATACAGGATACCAGTACAAAGGAGTCAAATCGACAATCATTCACATCACTGACGTATTATGTTTTAACGTTTAGAAAGGATTCGTCAGTATAGCTCAACGAGCTGCATCGATTCATGATGTATCCCACCCATGTCAACAAGAACTTGCTCCGTCCTTGTGTAAACGGCCCCTGGTTCATGCCCACCACTGTCAACATTTTTTTGCTCGTCTTGGAACTGTTGAAATGGATACGTGGCCAACTCATCGTGTTGAGCGCGTCTCGAGGAATTTCAACATATACGTCCATTCGTGTGCTTGTAAAAATTGTGCGAAATATTTGTACTCAAGTTTGAGAAGCTGAAATTCGGCTCATCACGAAGACCCGTCAGCATCGTTCCCGGTAGTTTGCACTGTGTCGAGAATGCGAGCACACGAAAATCATTTCAATCGACCTGTGTTGTTTGCTTCGCATGGGAAAAGGAAAAGGCAGTGCGCTGCATAACCTTTAGCTGTGCGAACACATGCAGCGTGTCCGGCGATCAGCGTTCATTGTGCCACAAATGTCTTCAACCCGAATCTTGTGTGCGGTCGACTGGAAAATCAACGAAAAGCAAAGTGTATGATGAATGTACTTTGGCTCACAAGAATGTGATAAGGGCGAGCGTGAAGAGAAGGAGAAAGATGCACCACAAGAGCGACGGGTACGCAAAGTTGTACAGGTCGAACAAGTGCTGCAAATAAAGCACAATCACTTTGCCCGACAACTTGCTTTCCCCGTGCACGCGGACGCCAAAGTTGATGGGCACTTCGGCGTGCTTCTTGACGCGGCACTTGACAAAGAGCTCCAATGCGATTTTGAACCCAACCGAGTTCACTTCACTCTTGCGAGCACGTTGAAGCACCTTGGCAGGCACACCAAAGAACCCCGTCATGGGATCAGACAGGCCGCTGAGCGGTCGGGCGAGCATGCGAGCGCCGCTGGAAATGACTTGGCGGTACAACGGCCAATCCTTGTCGACAGAAAATCGATCACCACCGTACCGCGTGCCAATGACAAATTCCGCATCGGATCCCTTGGCGGGGTCGATTGCGTCGAGAAGATGGGGAACACTCTCGGGGGGATGTTGCAAGTCTGCGTCCATGCACAGAAGGAGATCGCCCTTGGCTTCTTCAAAGCCACGCAGGACCGCACTGCTAAGTCCACGATCAGTTGTTCGCACGATGATGCGCACGTTTAACCCGGTCGCTGCGAGTGCTTTGATCACGTCTGCAGACCCATCGTTCGAGTTGTCGTCGACCACGATGATTTCTGTCGACGACGCGCGCGACCCAAGCGCAGCGAAGACACGGGTCACCAATTCCTTCAGGTTCGCGCATTCTTTATACGTGGGCACAACAACCGAAGCAGTGATGACGGCGCTACTTCCAGCATTGCGAGATCGAACGGCGTCGGCCATCGTCGTCGTCCAAGTTGGGGAATGCGACGTGTCTTTTGTGGTGTGTTGCTCACCCCTTGTTTCCATCACGTTCCAAACATTTCCGAGCCTGGTAATTCACAACTCATTTTATACCCATGTCGTTTGAAACCTAGCGTTCCAAACACGTTTCGAACGGCCGAACTGGCGTCCATACTGAACCCAAGTCAACGTGCCCGTGCGCGTCCATCCCGGCGCCTGGTCAGATCGAAATCCACGGCACTCCGCCGCCACCATCACATGACAATAGATGACGTGAATGTTGCAAGGATACCAAGGAGACAACGCGTATTCCGCCGTGCTACCGTACGCAAGCTCGAGGAAGAGTCGCCGCCGCTCGCTGTCGGGGCCATTGTCGCCATTGCAGTCGGCGCTGTCATTCTCGGGATCCTCGCGTGCATTTGCATTCGCCGTGTGCGCCTTGAAAACAGACGCAAGAAAACCCAGATGCGGCTCGACCGCGCTTTGCTCGAAGGTGCCCAATGTCAGGATGCAGCACCTCCACACGTGGCCACCCTGCCAGACCATCAAGTCGCGCCGCCCTTGTACCCCACACTGTCGTCCTCTTCTGCGCCAAAGTGTCCAAAGAACTCCGACACGAGCATTCACCAAACTCCAATCGAACATGTTGTTGGCAGCTCAGACTCGGACGACTTTGTCATCATGGGTACCAAGGGAAAACCACCTCTAATCCCAAACTTCGCCAAGGCCAACAAAACCGGCATGCACCTCACTTCATCGACAGCGTACATGCACAGTGCTTCCACGAAGCCAACTCCTGCTCCAGGTATCGTCGAACACAATCGGATGCGTTCGATCCTGGCCTTGGAGTTCCTACCGTGAACGGTTATGTAGGTATTCCAGGTAGCCACACGGAATCGATGTTTGTCGCGTCGTTCATCAGCGACGATATTGCGATGCTTCAGTCCACGCGCGGCGGCAGTTTCGATGCCGAAGTAGTCGAGCACATGAAAGGACGAGCCGTGTAGGGCTCCATGCCCCGTGCCAGTTTGTTGTTATCAATGTCCGGTCTTCTGTGACTCATGGGATGCTTTGCACTTGCGAGGTTCGTACTCGGCTCATGTTGGCGTGAATTGGGTCGCATTGTCAGCATCACCGATGCACGTTCACCTTGGCCGTTCTGAAGGCTGCGTGCAGCAAGTGAGTAGAACAGTCCTATGTCCATACTCACAGGCTCGTCGCGTGCCCTCCCCTTCCTCACGCATGATCAGCCAACAACCTTGCGCTTCGTGCGGCGTTCGTCTTGCGAGTTGTTGTTTCCGCGCGCTTCGGCAAGAAAATAATATTCATCGATATCTAGTTCAAATGAATTTTAAATGACTGAATAAAATCACTGCATTCACGTTCATTGCTTGTGGTGCGCACTCCCCGATGGACTTGCTCGATGAACTCGACCAATTGCTCGCGCACGAGCGCGAGAGCGGCGTCCTTCCGCCGTCGTCTTACGTCCAGCACCTTAGTGGATACACTTTTCAAGAACCTCTCTTGACGCCCCATGGCAAGCCTGCGCACCCTGTGTGCCTCCCACTGCCGCTGCTGCCACCGCCTCAGGTGCAGTCCCAATCTCTCCTTGTCGCAGTGCATGCTTATGGTATGTAAGTAGGTTGACGATGTCTCTGTCGAAAGCTTGCTTGCACATGCTGTCTTGGACGAAGGTTCCGCCTTTCTCTGGCAAGGAGAACCCAGTCGAACACTGGTGGAAGTCCAAGTGTCGACAAATCCCGTCGACATCAAGGCCGTCAAGTCATCCATGGTCTGCCTCCATGCATTTGACGAGGCTAGTATAACTGGCGTTTTGTAGGTTATGAATGCCATGTCCCTCACGTACGAATTTGCATCCGTCGATGCCGACGGCCAGTCGATGGCGGAAACGTCCAACCTCATGTTGCGCAAACCCACGCAACTCCAGGATTATGCACGTGGCAAAATCGGCAACACGCCGTTTACTCCAGGTGGAGAATCCCTGGTTCAGTCGTCATCCGTTAGCGACACCACCGGTGTGTCTGCTCCAACTGTGAAAGTGCGCTCGACCGACTCGGCGGCGACTCTGGCGATCGCCGCCGACTGGGATGCCCACGTAAGTTCACATGCCATCCATTTCCTTGTCAATGTTCATGGGCGACGATTGCAGTTGGATGCGTTCCTCGTTCCTGCCCCTGGCCTTGGCAACGGCTTGACCCGAACCGACATTTTGCGCCATTCCAGTGTCTCGCCGGCCTCCACTGCCGCCGAGGTGACCCAACCCCCCCCCACTCGTTTCGACCCGTTTTTTTACAGCCCTTCCTTTCTAGCCGATTGCTCGAGACACTGTCGGCGTGAATCCATCGACGCTCTTGCGGCCATACTATGACGTCATTGCAGATGCCGACTCGATGCATGCGCTCACTCGTGAGATTGCCGATGCCAAAGCATTACGCGGTATACAGTGCGCACGCGGTTCCAGCATGTGTCATGTTGATTTCTTAGCCATGGACGCGGCGGCCAACCCGGCGTTGTCTGTGCAAAGTCTCCTTGGCGAAGACGACGACGACTTGGAATGGGACGACGAAGACGACCAGCCACCAGCGACAGACTCGCCGAACGAAGTGGTCCCGACTGCGAAAAAGCAAACCAGTCGCGATGACTCGCCACGCGGCGATCGTGCGAGCGACTTGGATGACGACGAAGCATGGTGGATGGACGACATCGCGTCATGTGGAAACAAAGCGAACACGACGACGACGTCGTCGTCCTCGTTGGAGTGGGCGAGTGTGGCCGAAATCGACGTGTCCAATTTTTACGCGACAATCCCAGACATGGCGATCACGTTTCCGTTTGAATTGGATTCGTTCCAAAAGCAAGCGATCGTGCATTTGGAAAACCACGAGTGTGTCTTCATCGCTGCCCACACGTCGGCCGGGAAAACGGTACCCATCCCCCCCTTCTTGCGCACAAAAGCGATCCGGTCGTCCCATGTCGTGGCACAGGTTGTCGCCGAGTACGCGATTGCCATGTCCCAAAAGCACATGACGCGCACGATCTACACGTCACCGATCAAGGCGCTGTCAAATCAAAAGTACCGCGACTTTCGAACCAAGTTTGGCCAGGATAACGTCGGGTTGATCACGGGCGACGTCTCGATCAACCCGGAAGCGAGCTGCCTTGTCATGACGACCGAGATTTTGCGGTACACGTCATGTTTTACGGATTATTTCACTGCGCGCGGCCTACAGATCGATGCTGTATCGAGGGGCGGACGTGATTCGAGACATTGAGTGGGTCGTCTTTGACGAAATCCACTACCTCAACGACTCGGAACGAGGCGTTGTGTGGGAAGAAGTACGTCCGTGAGAGATCGTTTTTTGTGCGCCGCGGATGCAGATACGTGGATGGGTTTCAACATGTGCCATGGTGGAATAATCCGTCGATGCCGCGAGGGCTGTGGACGAGAGCAGCGGGTCGAACCCGTTCACGCGTTCGGCTTTGGATTTGTAATGTGCAGCGCCGTTTGGTGCGGCACTGTGTTTGGATGAAATGTTTTTTGTCGAGACATGGGACATTCCTCACGTGAATGAAAGACTACTTTCATGCTTACAACACCCTGTTCCGTATTTGAAAGGTGATCATCATGCTGCCCGAGCACGTGTCGATGGTATTTTTGTCCGCGACGACCCCCAACACGTTTGAATTCTCCGACTGGATCGGCCGCACCAAACAAAAAAAGATCCACGTCATTTCGACATTCAAGCGCCCGGTGCCCCTCGGCCACCATCTCTACGGTGCCCCCCACCCTTCCTCCTGCCTCCACTTGAATATTCTCACGATGCCAATGTTTAGCGGGCGGCGAGATCATCCCGATCGTGGACGCGAACAACCAATTTCTGTCCAACAGCCACATGTACGCCAACCAAAAGGCAAAACCGAAAGAGGCCAAAGGCAAGCCGCCGCCGCCTCCTCGCGCGGCGGGAAACAGCGGACGCGGCGGCGGCGACAAGGCCGAATGGACAAAACTCGTCCGGTTGCTTCAAGAAAAGACCCTCCTGCCCGTCGTCGTGTTTGCATTCAGCAAACGATTGTGTGAAGAATCGGCGAATCGACTGGCAGGGGTAATCCCACTCGATCGTGCTCCATCCCGAATGGCGAGGTCGTGTAGATGGACTTGAGTTCGGCGTCCGAACGCTCGGAAATCCACGTGTTTTGCGCCGCCAGCATCCGTCGCTTGCAGGTACAGCGACGACAACGACGCGCGGCACACAACCAAGTGGGTTGGGTAGGGATCGGACCAAAAGTTGCCGCAAGTGCTTCAAGTGCGCGACATGCTCGTGCGAGGGATCGGTGTCCACCACGGTGGATTGCTTCCCATTTTGAAGGAAATGGTTGAGATCTTGTTTGGTCGCGGGCTGGTCAAAGTCCTCTTCTCGACCGAAACATTTGCCATGGGGGTCAACATGCCCGCGCGCACGGTACTGTGGATGGACCGATCCCTTGAAACGACTCGTCGCTACTAGGTCGTGTTTAACGGCACACGCAAGCACGACGGAAAAACATTTCGGGATCTCTTGCCTGGGGAGTACACCCAGATGGCTGGACGAGCTGGGCGCCGCGGCCTGGACGCCATCGGGACCGTCATCATTGCGTGCTGGGGGTGCGTGTCTTCAATTCGCTCGATCGGACGAAATGACCGATCGATGGATGTTGTAGCGACGTGCCCGACGCCACGTCGCTTCGAACGATGCTGCTGGGCCTCCCGACCAAACTCGAGAGTCAATTTCGACTTACGTACAACATGATCCTCAACTTGCTCCGTGTTGAGGACATGACTGTGGAAGACATGATCAAGCGGTCGTTCAGTGAATTCCGCACGCAAAAAGCGCTCGCGTCCAAGAACATTCCGCATGCGATTCAAAAAGCGAAACGGGTGCGCACACGTCGGCGTTCACGGGTCCAACGACGTTGACAACCGTGATAGATGCTAGCGCGCTTAGAAGACGAATTGGAGCAAACGCATGGCGGCCACATGGATGTGGACCAAGTGCAGCTCTTTTACGAGCTGTCGCAAGAGTCCAAAATGATGGAAAAACACCTTGTTCAGATGATTCTCAACTCCAAGTACGCCGCGACCGCGCTCTGCATCGGCCGCGTCGTTGTCGTATCGACCGCCGACTTGCCCGACGCCGTCGCAATTGTCTTGCAAGGTGCGTCGCCCATCACGTCACGTCTAACGGTGTGGTACAAGTCAATAAAGGCACAGTCAAGTCGTTTGTCGCGCTCGCGCTGTGTCCGCCGGCGTTTTCCCCACCCGTGGCACCGACCAAGCGATTGGAATTCCAACCACTTACTCGCGGTAGCCTCGGAGGCGGCATGTCGAAGCCTGTGGGGCTCAAAGTTGGCGACGTGGGGTCGCTCCTCGGCAAACACTATGTCGTGTTGGAGCTCCCTGAATCCTGTGTCGACTTGCTCACGCAGGTGAGTTACACTGCGCCTTTCGTCGAGTTGTTTCTTTTTTTTACGATCGACGATCGGTATGAAGGATAAAGGGAGCACAGCAGTCCGCAACTTGTTGGAAGCAAACGACGTGTCCGTGCTGTCTCGAGCGATTGAGCTGCTCATGGACGTCGAGCCCAAGATCAAGTACCACCACCGCCCCCCCTTCCTCCTCGTCGACCTTGGTTCTCCGTTGACGATGCTTTACTCCATAGGTACATCGTCGACCCCCGCGCCGATCTAAAAATGAACGACCTGGACGCTGTTGGAGTATACAACACCATCCAAAACGCGTACTCGCGCATGCAGGACAACATTTGCTTCAACTCTCCATTTTTGCTGCCCGTCCTGGCGCAGTTTGCCAAAGTTGGTGCAGCAAATGTCTCGTTCCAGAACGATCTATGGACCGAATTCTAGATCTCCAAGCTGCGCAATTATGTGGCCGCCATGACCGCGGCGCTGTCCAACCATTCCCTGTCCCTCTTTCCCGATTTCCAACAACGTCTTCAAGTCCTGACGCGGCTGGGGTACATTGCCAAAGACAACACGGTCCAGGTGCGTCCTCTCGACTGTCGGCGCGGCAGGGATCGGATTCCATTCGATTTGTAGGTCAAAGGGCGCGTCGCATGTGAAGTCAACACGTGCGAGGAATTGATTTTGACCGAAATCATTTTTGAAAACGTGCTGGCGTCACTCGAACCGGAAGAAATCGTGTCGGTGTTGTCGGCGCTGATTTTCCAGGAAAAGACCCAACACACCACGACCTTGACGCCGCGGTTGATGGACGCCCAGAAAACGGTACGTCGTGCAGGGGTGGTCGAGAGATGCTGACGCTCCAGGGCGGGTAGGTCCAAGCGATTGCCACGTCACTCGGGTTGATTCAACTGGAAGCCCAGTTGGAAATCGACCCGCTCGAATACGTCAAGTCGACACTCAACTTTGGCCTGATGGAAGTCGTGTACGAATGGAGTCGAGGAATGCCGTTCCAGTCGATCTGCCAACTCACGGATGTCCCGGAAGGGTCGATCGTTCGGTGCATGACGCGGCTCGATGAAGTCTGCCGCGAAGTCCGCAACGCCGCGCGCGTGATTGGAGACCCACGTCTATACCGCAAGATGGAAATTGCGTCGGAAAGCATCAAGCGGGACGTTGTGTTTGCCACAAGCTTGTACTTGTCGTAAATCCCGCCTGCTGCTGCTGCTGCTTCTTCTTCCTGTGGTGTTTCATCGACGACGGCGGCAGCGTCAACGAAGCGAATGCTCATGAGGGTCGTCGTCGTAATAGATGCGACGAACCCCCGTGTCGAGAGCATGCCCAGCAACGAAATGCAGACACGATTTCACCAAAGTCATTTTCTCCCAGGGCAGTTGACACCACCCGAGTCTGAAAAACCTGTACACCACAACACTGCCTTGAACGCGTTAGCAGCCCACGGGGCGCAATCGTCGTTGTCCATGATGCAAAGAGCGGAGCTCGAATCGTCGCATGCCCCGCGTCGTAGTACGCCTCGCACCAATCTCTTGCCTATCGTCTACGAACGTGCTCTGGATTGCCGCATCCGCACGCTCTTGTGCCGTTGCGTTGTTGGTCGTGGCGCTGTCGAGTCTGCCGCTCGTGCATGGCGAGGCTGTTGCTGAGTCCGCGCTACGAATGGCGCTGCCCGACGACTTTTCTCGGGAACCTGCCAAGACGTTTTCTGCCGCGGTTGGTGCTGCAACCTGCGCTTCTTCTGTTCCGCTTCGACGGCGGCGGGAAGTCGCTCGAGAGCTTGAAGCAATTCGTGTCCAAACAGGGGCGGTCGGTGCTCTTTTGGTGTCCCCCGGAGCAACGTCGCAAACACGTGCTTTTCCAGCGGGCACCCTTCAAACACTTGGTTGGTCGGGCGCAGGAGCATCTCCCGTCGCGATTCCACCCCTTGTGCTTGCTCGGCGACGGCGTACTCGGCGTATTGTCGAAGCACCTGCGCTCGATCAAGCCATGGCGTGATCTCGGCGATGGCTTACCTCGATGCGACCTTCAACTGGCGACATGCGCTTCCACACGTTTCGATCGCCAAACAAACGGGAGTCGACCTCGGTGAACGTAAACGGGTTGTCGCGGGCCAACCGACCCATCATCACACCTGGACAATCGTCCACTTAGTGTCATGCGTCCCGCGACGATGTGGCGGCTGGCGCACGGCATCACATACCGTTCAAACCACACGGGTGGGCCAAATGCGTGTGCATGTCATCGATAGACTTGATCCCGCCGTTGATCTCGATGTGCAACTGCGGCATCTCGTGCTTGAGACGATAGACCCAGTCGTGGCGCAACGGCACGAGCTCGTCCACGCGATTTTGCCGCGTGCTGATGCCGTCCAGCAGCGCCTTGCGTGCATGCACCACGAAACGATTGCACCCGCCGACCACATGCAATTGCTCGATAAAGTTGCGGAAGAACGGATAGTCATCGTACGAATCGACACCAATGCGGACCTTCACCGACACGGGCACATCTAGCTGCGACGTCATCGTCTTGACGAGCGCCGAGATTCTGTTGTGCGGTGGTTTCATCAACGTCGCGCCGAAGTTGCGCTCCTGGGCGGTCCCCGCTGGACACCCCAGGTTCAAGTTGATCTCACTGAAACCTGCGTCTTGGCATTTCCGTGCAGCGCTCATGATGTGGTTGACGTCGTCTCCACCGAGTTGCACGGCCAGTGGCAGCTCGGCTGGACGGAAGAGCAGCATCTGCGACACCTCATGCCGCTTGCGCAGCGCCACCCGACGTGCGAGGTACATTGGCGTGTAGAGAAGAGTCCGCTTGGTCATGATGCGAATCAAAGACCGGAAATGACGGTCCGTCACGTCCACCATCGGTGCCACACTCACAATTGGCGGCGGCGGCGACCTCGCCGGCTTTCCATCTTTCCGTCCCATGAGATGAATGGTGCCTCGCTATGCCATTGGCCGAC